CAATCCAAATTCAAAGCCAGTATGGGCTAAGAAATTATAAAAATCAGGGCAAAAATTAATGAAATTGAGACTAGGAAAAACTACAAAGAACCAGTGAACCAAAGAGTTGATTCTTTGAAGAAATAAACAAAATAGGCAAACCCTTAGCCAATCTTACAGAGAGAGAGAGAGAGAGAGAGAGAGAGAGAGAGAGAGAGAGAGAGAGAGAGAGAGAGAGAGATTCAAGTCAATATAATTAGAAATGAAAAAGGCAAAAGCATAATGGATTCTGCCCAAATCCAGAAGATCATTAGTAACTACTTGGAGAACATATACTCTAATAAAATGGAGAATTCATCCACTTAGAATTCATTACTTAGAAGTTACTTTGAAATTGAAAAATGTCTCTGTCCCTTTTAGATGGGGCTTAATCATGTTAGGAAGTCACAAAACAAAATTTGAGAAAGATAAATTCTTCATTTAAACCAGGTTCCAGCCCAGACCAGAAAGGTGTAAATAATGTTTCCCTTTCTGATATCATTGGGCTGTTGGCAGCTAGGAATGCAATATGCCTTACTCCGGAGTTAGATGGCCAGGTATCAGAAGGAATGTGTACTATGTGTAACCTTAAGATTTCATTGTGCTCTGTGGGCTTGCTTTGGGTCTGAGACTTAAGAAATGATGGTAAATGTATTATACATTGAAGCCTTTCTTTCTTTCTTTTTTCTTTTTCTTTTTGAGGCAGGGTTTCCACGTGCAGTTTAGGGAACTCACTTTGTGGTCCAGGCTAGTCTCGAACTCGCAGCGATCTCTTGCCTCAGCTTCCCTAGGGCTAGGATGATAGACGTATATTTATTTAATCAATAGCAACACATGCTTTCATGGACCCCTCTTTGCCCTTCAGGCCTGCTAATATCAACAGGCTTTGTTATGGGCTGAATGCTATGTTTCCTCTAAATACGTGTGTTGAATCCTAATCCCCAACATGATGATATTAGAAGGTGAGGGCCTTTGGGAGGTTACATGCTCCTGAAAATGGAGCCCCTATGAATGAGCTCAGTGCCTTTATACACAGAGACACAGAACTTGCCCCTGCACCTTCTGCCAGGCAAGGATACAAGGAGAAGATGGCCTTCTGCAAACCAGTGAATAAGCCCGTTTCTGCTGGTCCCTTGACCTGACGCTGTTGGAGATAAATGTTTGTCACTCAGACCATCTAGTTTATGGTATTCTGCTGCTGCAGCCTGACCTGAGTCATTGCGAAGATTATCCCTCATCCTCTTCCATTTATACCCTCAGTTAACTACAAATCAGATCTCAACTAGGCATGGTAAATGTGCAGTTAATAAACAATGACTATTTCTCTGTACTTAACACATGCTGAGGAGAATATAGGAAAATGGGATCATGCCTGCTGGTATAGTAGAGACAGACTCTAGAGGCTAAGTAAAAATCCTGGCTCTGTGCCTGTTCGCTCTGCATCTTGGATGAACAAATTTAATCTTCCCTCACTGTGAAAATCCCTCACAGGGGTGCATGTGAAAGCACCCAGCCTGATCTGTGGAGCGTGCTAGTACATAGTAGCTCTTCCCTTCAGAGAGCTAACAGGGATTGCGAGGATAAATAATGAGAAAGATAGTTGAGATGTTAAGTGTAATCAGCCGTGGAGTGGAAGAAATACGTACACCTAGAGAGCCAGTGAAGGCTTTTAGAGGAGCAGTCCAACATAGTAAAGCTGTGCCGAGAGAGAAGTAGCACCAATAAACCCAGAAATGCACTCAATTTTGTACCATGAAGTGAAAAGGGGCCTAAGTGAGGGAACTAGGATGTCCTAAATAGCATGACTCCATCCAGTTTGCTTCCCAGTAGAAATCTTAAGAAGCAGGATGCGTGGGGCCCCCTTCTTCAGTTGCCCCCTCAAAAAGGCATTAAGCGGAACACACTCAGGACCAAGAGGCAAAGCCTCACTCCATTTCTTTCTAGCCCGTGAGGCTGGAGGGGTCTGAGCTGCTGTTGTCCCAGTTAAAACTCTCGTTCCTGTCTTTAACAGTTTTATTTCTTTTTTTATTGGTACATGTTCGCAGTACATAATGATTCCATTCCTTGTGGGGTGACTCCATTTCATATACCTATCGCATCTTCATTCTTTTTTCGTCTCCTGCTTCAGTTTTTAAGAAGCAGATGAGGATGCTTCAAAACAAAACAATCTCTTCTGCTGCCTTGTTTAGTCTCATAAGTTTCCCATCTTCCCTGCTGTGAACCAGAAATGAACTCAGTGTCCAGGAGGGGAATCTCACTGGCCCTGAGACACAGAACAAAGCTGTTCCCCGTCCTGGTGGCTTCCGGTTTTGCAGCCCTGCTCTGCACCCAAACGTATGCTTTCTCTTTGCCTTTTCATCTAATTACAGCCCAAGAAAAAACAAGCCTGAGAATCCAATTGAGGACCAGGTCAGGGCTTTGGAATCTAAGTAATACGTGTTTACACTCCTGCCCTCTGCAAATGGCTCCTGAGCCACGAATGGATTTCTGTTCTTGGATTGCTCTCAGTGACAGCAATACTTATGTGTTTGCTTCAGGGTGCCAACAAAAGAGAGAAATGTGGTCACATCTCCTGTTTCCTACAGAAAGCAAGAAACTGAGGGAGAGGGAAAGGCACCCAGGATGTGCATCTGAAAGCTTGATGCTTGACATGTGGCAGGCACATCAGTAACCTCAGTCAGGACCATGGCAGTAAGAAGCAGCTGCCCTGCCTCCCACCAGGGCTGGTCCAGACCAGTGGAAGTGGGTAGGAGGAACTCAGGAAGCCCTTTCTGTGGGGCTGCCGGGATGCTCAGCATACCGCCCCTGGAGGCTTTGAGCAACATGTAGATGGCCCAAGAACACAAACCCCTGCTACTTGGAACAGCTGAAGGAGAGCAACACGGCAGTGTTCAAATGTGAGGGTTCTTGTGGAGAATGGAGATAAGATTTATTCCAGGGAACTTGGACCAGGGGGTTGGAATCTATCCATAGAACCCAGATTCAGATTCATACGGTTATACTTTGGAACTCAACCACTTTCTTTTTGCTTTCTCTTTTGAATTCAGAGATACGTTTTTACTTATTTTTAAATTTTTTACTAGTACATGTTTGCAATACATTATGATGACATTCACTATGCGCAGTAAACTTGTTAAAATTTGGTATTCAAAGCACTTGACAGGGGGATTTTTGTCCTTGTACTCATTGTCTGGGATTCAGTGCACAAGCTAGAACCTGTTGGGGCCAATTGCCTCATGACTTAGTACCCTTTCCAGTCAAAACAATTCGGTACTTGTCATCTTTAGTACTAGTCATGCCTCTAGAATCAACTAACAACAAGTAACAAGGTACCACTCTATGTTTTAAAAGGCTGAATTGTCCAAAGAAATGAGTAGTTTAGGAGGGAAAGCATCATAATAGAGAAGGTACTGTCAACTTTTGAAGTCTTTTCCAACCCTGAGGCTCTCTGTCCTTCTTCTCAAGAGCCACCATTTTGATTTGGATGATTTACATGACTTTAGGAGCTCATTTCATGTGACACAGTAAGTAATGTGGCCTAAACTAAGGAATTCACATCACACGTACACATGAGTTCATCTCATACACATGCACACATGCACACAAACCCATAGTGGTTTTTGCAGTGATTATTTGACATGTCTTTTAGAATAAACTATAATAATTTTGTAGGACTATTAAAACAAATATGTTCTTGCTGGGTGTGGTGACGCAAACCTGTAATACCAGCACTAAAGAGGCTGAGGCAGGAGGATTGCCATGAGTTTGAGGACAACCTGGGCTACATAGTGAGTTCAAGACCAACCTGAACTACATAGAGAGAGACCCTGTCCCAAAAAATGTTCTCTCTTTTCTGCTAGATATGAGTTAAGGAATGTTCTAATTGCTCTTGGCAGATTTTTTTGAAGACACTATAAAAGCCATTTTCAAGAAGAAGGCAGAGATGTGGGAGGAAGCAGGAACTTTGGTGACATTGTTAAATTATGAATCAAGACTTAACTGAAACTAGATTCACCTTTAGACCTTTTGTTGCAAAAATTAATACAATTCCTTGATTGAACAGATTTTAGTTGGGCTTTCTGATATTCACAAATAAAAACATCTTGATCAAGTGAGGGTAAGAGCAGGAAGTACGAATCTTAGTCTCTGCCTTCAAAGAGCCTCCAGTATAGTTTGGAAGATGAAACATTAGACAGGATAGGGAAAGCAATATGGAAGAGGAATATACAGATATCAGATATGATCACAGCAGATTAAAGTCCCATGTGGATATCACCAAAACTATGACAAACCACAGGAAAGAAGGAAAATAATTCTGTAAGTTACTCAATAAGGGGCATTGTGATCTATTTCCCTCCTCCTATATCTGCCAAGCAGGGGAAGGTCTCCTGGCTCCATGTGTGAGAATATAATCTCTGAAATCAGACTACACAGACTTAAATCCTAGTTTGGCCACTTACTAGATATGCATGCACAGGCTAATAAACTTTATGCACACTGACTCTCTGATCAGTGAAATAGACATAAAAACCTGTAATTACCTCTTAGATTGTGGTGAAAATTGAATGAGTTATTATAATTGTGTCTGGCACATAATCAAAGTGCAATTAGTGTTCTCTACTACCTTCCTTTGAAAAACAATCTTTCAATAACTATGATGTAGCAAACACTGGAGTGTAGTAACAATAAGTAAATCATCATCTGCTCTTACGGAGGCAACAACTTCTAGTGAGGGATGCAGCTTCCACTGGAGGAAAAGGTAATGGAAGCATGCAATAAATAAGCACAGAAAGAATGAATTATTAGTTAAAACTCTGGCTTTGAGAAAAAATTAACGAAGCTCTCCTAAGCAAAAGATTTAAAAAATATGACTGCAGAGCTATGTCAGAATCAGGCTAGTACCAGGAATTGAAAAGCCCCAGGGAGCCGCAGAAGTACCTTTTCTCTGTTGATTGGTTGTATTCTCCTTTCCCTTTATGCAGGTTGGTCTTTTGCTTCTTTGTCCCCACAGAGGACTATGTGCACCTCACGGAAAAGCTTGAATGTACGTGTTCTGGCTTAACCAAGAGGCCAAGATGGTGGTCTATGTCTAAGTCCTTATGGTAAGTTCTCAGAATAAGAGAACTTAATTGAGTAAAACGTTCAATCTTGGTCAAATTGTCAGGGTCAGAGTAGGAACGTGGCTCCTTGACTCAGCCAGTGGCAAGTGAGGCTCAGCTCTCCAAGAAGAAAATGTGGCTCATGGGCTGGTTAGGTAGCCGCAAGGGGTACTCTAACTTTAGTTTTTAAAGCAAGGAACTTCTTAAAGAACATTGTAGCTTGCTGAGATTTTGAAGACTGATGAGAATTGACACGTGAAAGGGATGGGAAATGAGCCATCCTATAATAGGAGCAGCACAAGAACAGAGGGTGTGGCATCTCTGGAGGATATCAGGGAGGCCACTGACAGGAGAGGATCTTAGAAAAATGAGCCAGGTAGATGTAAGGGGTCTTGTAAGTTTTATTGTGTTTGGCTGTTTTGAGTTCTGTGGGAAAGTATTAAAGATTTTTTTAAAAGTGAGGGACACGATCAGGTGTTCATGTTGGAATAGTTATTCACATTATTCTAACAATAATACAGAGAATGTTTGGGGGTTTCACAAGAGTGGAGGCTGTTTAGATAATATAGGTGGAGTGATGGTAGCTTGAAATAAGGTAGTAATAGCAAGGAGCAGGAAAAAGTTGTGTTGATCTTAGGACACCAGCAGGAGCACAGAGCCTGATTTGTATTAAGATGTCAGTTGAATAATGCCATGCAAAAGTCAGGCAAACTGGTATTTGACGCAGTGCCTCCAATTCTTGTGGCCTTGGTCATCAGTGATGCTAGGACACAGGAAGGATTGCTAAGTTCTGGCTGCAAGTCAGCACCACTGAAAGATGCATGGAAGGCATTTTCACCCAGGGCCCCATGAAGCTGTTGGCTTCCCTTGATGTACTAGGAGATCTTAGCTTTGTAACTCAGGGAGGAGAGAACAGTTGTGTTTGAGAGCCGGATTGGAGCAAGGAGGAGAAGAAGGAGGAGTGATGGACAATGTAGATGCTATGGGTCTTTTTCTTAGCTAGCCTCTGTGGTTAACAAAGCCTAAGATATATTTTTTAATGAATCTCTGTGAGACCTGGAAGGGGCCCAAGGGCCAACTGACACCTGCTCACAGGAGAGGTTATGAGAGCCAAGCAAGAAGGGAAGAACATGCGGCTGCTGTAGGTGCCCGCAGCTCACAGAGGATTTAAGGAAGGGCTTTAATTCCATGCAGAATTGCCTTTTAGAAATACCTGGGGAGCGGGGTGTGGTGGTGCACGCTGCAATCCCAGCACTGGGAGGGTGAAGCAGGAGGATCACTGAGAGTTTGAGGTCAGGCTGGGGTGTATGGTAAGTTCAAGCCAGTCTGAGCTAAAAAGTGAGATCTTGTTGAAAGACAAAGAAAGAAACAAAGAAACAAAGAAAGAAACGAAAGAAAGAAAGAAACGAGGGGAAGGAATGAGTTTTTTTTCAGTGCACCTTTGTGCACATGGGTGTGGTAGACACCCATGCCCTTGTGATTTGGGCAACTATGAAGATTCTCATGTTCTAGTTAAAGACTGGAGGCCCGGTCTTTGAAGCAGGCAGTCTGGTGTCAAGGAAACCGAGAATGCAACGGTTAAATATTTGAGTTAAGTATTTATTATTCTGTGCCTATGTCTCCTGGGTGAAGGTATTTTGGTTCACTCTGCATCCGCAAGACAAACTGCCATGCCAACATGACCTCGAATCCAGTGAGGCTCCTCCAAACGCCTCAGAGCAGCACAGCTGAGCCGGGCTCCTGGTGAGGATGCCCCCACTTACAACGGTACTTTCTACCATTCAGGCAACATACAAAGCTTTTCTTTTTTAAATCTGGTGGTGTGGTCCTTAGCTTTCCTTCATTTTTGGTCCTTAGAATTCCTTTTCAAGGTAAAAAGAGTACTTGTCAGCTTTGTGTTTTGTTTTCACAGTGCTGGCAATCAAACTGAGGGCCTTGTTTACGCCAGGCAAACAGTAAACCACTGAGCCACATCCCCAGCCCGGGTGGATTTTTTCTGATGCCACAAAAATCAATACTTTAACAAAAAAAAAAATGTAGGAAAACATTTTGTGAAGGACTTGGCTTCATTATGGAAAGTTCTAAATATACTTTATAAAAGACTGATAATGAAATGTTTCACCCAAAACTTTCCTTCACATTGCAAAATGGTCCTCTACCCTTTCATGTAGTCAGGAAGTTTCCTTCCAACGGTAAATGTGCTGCACAAAACCCCTCAACTGTCTGCAAGTAAACATCTCTTTTAGAAAATCAACTGCATTGTGCTTTGAGTACTTTGTGTTTTATTAATCCTGTGAAAAATTCCTTTGGTGAAAAGATTCAAATCTGGATATTTTACCATCTGAGAAAGAGAGTCACTTTGTTCTATGAGAATGTTCGTATGTTCTCTTACCCTGAGGATGATGTAATTTTCTAATAAATGGAAATGATTTGTTTTCTGTGTGCGTGTTTTTAAAGGCCATTAGCACCCCTTGTCTATCTACCCTGGACTCCCCAAGTTCAGTAAACCTCAAGATTTCAACTTGCCAATGTCTGTCTCTTTATGCCTAAGAACTTAGATCAGCATTGAGAAAAAATGATATATCTGGCGGGAAGCCCTGGAGAATAAATGTTCCCCAGGTGCAGTCCTCAAAAAATGACTTATAGGAATTGGTGTATAAATACTCCAGCTTCACTTTCTTTGGGTGGCATAAGCCAGGCATGTGTGCTTTACACTGTTTCTTGCAGTTTCCCTGTGGGATTGAATGCCATGGTCACCCACGACAAAAGCAGGCTAGATGGCCAGCCATGTTTGCTTCCTTCCCTTCCTATGTCAGTTTCCTATTCCCCTTCTAGGAGTCCCTGCCCCACTAAAACAAGCTCTTGTACAAAAGTCCTTGCCCTCGGGTCTACTTCTGGAAAACCCAAACTAAGCTGGCCCGTGTGTTGAAAATGAGATCATTCTATTATTTTAAGTTCCTAAGTGAGGGTAGAGTGCTCACCCATAATGTTCAAACTGTTAAAAAGATAATTCTTATATAAATATATAGTATGTGTCAAGGTTTTATTTAATTTATTTATGAAGAATTGGCAGAACAACAAAGCTGATTTCAGTGTACAGAGTCAATGGAAAGAAGGAATGCTGGAAAAAGATTGCTGAATTAGAGGTCAAACTGATTAATGATCTACAGGGCACTAGCATCAATGCTATAGTTTGCAATACTGGGTGTTCCTCCTAGGGGCTTCTCAGTAGCTTACATTCCCAGCCTTTTTATTTTACTTTTTTAAAATTTGAGACAAGGTATCACTAAATTGCTAAATTTTCCAATTTGGGCTTCAACTGATGAGCCTCCTGCCTCTGCCTCTGCCTCTGCCTTTGCTTCTGCCTCTGCCTCTGCCTCTGCCTCTCAGAGTATGTTGCTGTAATTTGGATAATGTCCCTGAGAGATCTGTGTATTAAAAACTTGGTGCTTAGCTGGTGGCACTATTGAGAAGTGGTAGAACCTTTAAGAAGAGGGGCCTAGTGGGAGGTCTTTATGTCACTGAGGGTGTGCCCTTGAAGGGGATCATGAGACCTCAGTGCCTTGTTTCCTTTTTTTCCTCTTCTTGGCCATGAGGTGAATGGTTTTGCTCAGCTGTGTGATCCTTTTGTGATGTGCTACCCTGCTACAGGCCCAAAAGCAATGAAGGGAACTGATCTCCGAAACTGCAAGCCAAAATAAATCTTTTCACCTTAAAATTTGATTTTCTCAGACATTTTTTATAATAATGGAAAGCTAACACTCTTTGATTTATATTATCATAGAGGAAAGAATTTTCTACAAACATAAACAATTTTATAGAGTTAGAAAAGAGATAGGCCTTCAATCAATTAGTAATAATAAGTCAACAATTATTACACATTACTCACATGAGAATGTCAATCAAATGGCCCTAGCATCTTCAAAAGTTTACCCCATTATCTTTTTTAATTATCTACAAGTTTAGAATCATTTTTCTGAATACTATAAGAATTTTATGTGATTTATAAGTATGTAGCTGGGTGTGGTAGCACACACCTGTAATCCCAGCACTTGGGAGGCTGTGGCAGGAGGATTGCCAAGAGTTTGAGACCAACCTGAGCTACATAGTGCACTCAAAGCCAGCATGAACTACATAGTGAGACCCTTTCTCAAAAAAAAAAGTAACCTATGAGCTGATAATTACAACATTCGCAGTTGTAGATTAGTAAGTTGTGAAAAGTTTGTGTGCTTGCATGTGTTTTAAACTTTACTTATTTGAGACCAATTTTGAAGACACTTGTAAAAATAAAAACTTGCACAAAACTTGCCCTATCATGAGAGGGGTTTTGCTTTTACTATTTTAATTTTTATTAAGTGGTCTAGTATTTTGGTGAAATTATTCCGAAATTCATCTGGAAGCTGGTTACAGATATATTTTGTAAAGATTTTTCTCACTGGCAAAGAATTACAGAAAATGGATTATTCTACATTCACTGGGATTTTAAAAAATTGTTAGTTATTGATTGTTCAAACTGTTATAGACAGCTCAGTTAGGTAGAAATATTCTAGGCAGTCAGGCAGGGTGAGGCCCTCAAGGAGCCAGTGCAGATGCATTGCAACTGTGGGGAGAGAGACACCTCCCCTGAGGGCCAGACCTCAAGGCGGAAGATGAAACGAATGCACCCACATACTTCCCCTAAGGATAAACAACAGTGATGATATTCCACATAGGTATCCATCACCTTGGAAAAGCCAGGCAAATCTACTGATCCACCCACTCCAGGAAAAGCCCCTGTTCTGTTTCATGCCTGCTTGCTACTACGTGATTTGTTTCCCGATTTGATCCCCACTTAATCAATATTACCTGAACAATTATGCTTATAATCTTATTGGTAGACCATAGTTTGGTCCCACCTCATGCCTACCTTGTGATTTCCCATTTTACCCCACTTTGGACCTGCCTCACTTCGTGGTTTTGCTCTATAAAAATCCCTAGAAAAGGCAAGGTCCTCAGTCACCTGC